ATCAAAACGTACTGCTCCACGATTCGAGCCACCACCGCCAGTCCGAGTCCAACGCCGCCCGCGGAACCTGTTCTAGGTTCCATGAGTTCGACTTGCTCGAATTCTCTAAATATGCCCGCCAATCGTTCGGGAGCGATTCCGCAGCCGGTATCCGCTACGACAATCTCTACAGCAGTCTGACTAGGATCCCGCAAGCCTTCCGGCTCCCCGAACGTAGTGCACCCGACGGTGATCGAGCCCTCGGCGGTGTATTTTACTACATCGCGGTTGAGTCTCGGCCCAGAGGTTGCAAGTGCATGAAAGACATACAGGAATTTGCAGTGAGGTTCTGCACCACAGTCCGAATCTTTTTCGAATCGCCCACAACAATCTTCGGAGACTGCTGAAGTTCCATCTTGAACGTGATATTCCGCCGTTGAGCCTCTTTACGGTACAGATGGGTCGCGTCCTCGATCGCGTCCTGTAAGTCAAAGGGCTCGTTGAAAGACGTTTCGTTGCCGCTCTCGAGACGTGTTAGATCCAACAAGTCGTTGATCGTAAATAACAGACTCTGGCGCCCAAAGTTAGAAACTCAATTATTAGCAGCAAATGAAAACATCATCCAACCTTCGATGCAGCATGCGAGCGATTCAGGTTATCGCGCGTCTCATCATCCAATGGCCCATTGAGCGCCATTTCGAGATAACTAGTGGCAATTCAGTCACGCAACGCTTCAACAACGGAGCGACGTACTTGATGATGTGGTTTAACGGCGTTCGTACTGGCGGGATGTCAAGTGAGTAGAATCCCAGCGACCGAGAATCACTACTTACCTTCATGAGATGCATTCGAGAGCAACAAGTTCGTAAGCCGCGTCGTTTGGAGCGCGTTCTCCTTCTGCCTCCAAACTTCGATGAACTAGACGAACTCCGCTTAAATTCGATCCCCTTTTATATCACACTGCACTCACCTTGCCGTACACTAACGCCAGCACACCTGCGGTCTCAAGCTGTTCGTCCGTCCACGCGCGGCACTTCCCCGCTACCGTCTCCGACCAAACCTTGAAGCTCTTCCGTGGCTCGAGCATCGTGTCTGGCTGAATCTTCGTCGAGTTCGGGTTCCCCGCCCAGTGGACGTGTCGCGGCTGTCCCCTGCGCAGGAAGCATATAAAGTCCTTCCCCTCGCCTGACAGAGGCACGTAGAGCATGCCCGCGACGACGTCAAGGCCCGCTGACAACGGGAGATCTTGAAAGTCCATGGTAACGGCCTGCGAGACTTGGATCGTGCTGCCAATGCAGTGAGGATAAATCCGACAAAGAAAGGAGGAGGACTGACGTGAACTGCTTCAGGCGCAAGTACTCCGCCATAATGAGGATTTCCTGCCCGTGCTCGTTGGGCCCGAGCATCTTGGCGGCTTCTCCAATCTATCAATAAAATGAGCCCCAAGCAGTTGGGGGTACGAAGCCACATACCACAAGCACTCCAAAGTCGGCATCGAACAGTCCAAGCAAGTCATCGGCGTTGCTCACAATATACCCCGTTGGATGGTTATCAGACGCCATCGTGTTTATCTGTCCGCAACGTCAACAACCTTCATTCCAAAACCAGTACGATCGGATTCACCAATTTCCGCGTCGTCAACCGCTGCGCATAACTGAGGCGTTCAATGTTGCGTGATATCGACTGGCTGAGAAGACGCAGCATCTGCCGGACAGGAAACGACACCCGCATCCCGTGCGTCCCGTAAGAGTGGCATGTTACCAGCCCCCATAATGTGCCGAATGCCATGATCGACTGGAACAGTTGTAAGCGATCCAAGAACGAAATGATGGGCGAAGGTGGGGAGGGAATCAAACAAAACAACACGCACGACAGACATCGAAGCCCGGACCTCCATGTTCTCTAAATCTGAGATTTCCGTTTCATGAGTCCTTTAGCTCCGCCGATAAATATGTAAACACACATTTAACGTGTATTGGGCTCATAGCGCGTAGATAGCAATGGGTCATGTTCTATGTGTGTGTAAGGAATGCGTTTGCGGGCACGAGCTCAATAAACGCACCAGAGGCGTCTTAAGGTCGTCCTGGTTCCGAACAACGATGCGCGCCGTACTCTGCGAACGGTCATAGAGTAGCCGGACTTTGTCTGTTGTCGAATTGTCGTCAGCTCCAGTAACAATAGTGTACGAATTGCGGAGGCGCACTGATCGCATACAACTGCCTCGCCTATGTCCGCCAACTTAGCTTCGCCCTTAAAATTTCAACAACGAAGTACGCACCTGCGCCGGAATATCCGCCGCTGGAAAATGCAACCCCCGGTACAGATCCTTCGTCTTGCTCCAATCCACCAGCTCCGCGACGACCTGCCCATTCCACGCCTCGTCAAACTGGTACACCAGCACGCGGTGGAACTGCGACAGGTCCTTGATCACACCCACGACGACTTGCAGGAACGCCGGGAGGTCCGGCGCGTCGCCCAGCTGCTCGTTGATCTGCGCCATGACCGCGAACACATCCATCATCCCGACACCGCCCGACGCGCTGCCGCTCCCCATGCGTCTTGACTTTTTAGAACGGGTCTCAGAAGAGGATCCTGGAGTGGGGTCACCGCTGAGGTTTTCATAGCGCGCAATCCGCCGCAGCCGCTCGAGCGCGGGAAGCGGCTTCGCACGGGATGTCGTGCTCTCAAGGATCTCCTCAGCCGTCGGCCCAGAGGGCTCATCAGCTACAAGCGCATTCATAACCTCCGCGACAATCAAAGGATCTTCCTCCTCCACCTCCCCCGCCTTGGGCGTCGGCAGCGGCGTGGGAAGTAGCGTCTCCGTGCTCGTCTCCGTCTTCGCCGTCTCCGTGCTTACGCTGCCACCGCCGCTCCCGCTCCCGCTACTCATCGACCCGAGCGGTGAGCCGATGTCCTGCCCCTGAGCATCCGCTGGGGGGTACAGCGGATTCAGAGTATCGCGCTCGAGTTCGAATTCCATGATAATCAGGCCGGGGTTACTCATGCCGGTTGGATCCAACGGGCGGTGGACGGCGCACCAGCAGGTCCATGAGCGGCGGCCGTTGCTCGCGTTCGGGTCGCCCGGGGCAGCACTCCCTGGCGCGCCCCAGCCGGTGAGCAGAAACACATGCGGCGACGCCTCCTCCTCCTGTGTATTCTGGTCGAACTCAGAGAGGAATTGGATGTTATCCCAGAGCGTTCCGGCCTGGGATTCGGGGAGCGTGTCGGTGAAACACTCCAGGGAGAAGAGATAACGAGTGGGAAGGCCGAGTAATTCTTCAGCGTTCTAGGCGCGCGAATCAGTGAGAAGTAAGTGAGTGGGCAAAGACGTACCTCTGAGACCTGCCGGACGACAAGAGCATCTTCTAACTCGTCTATGGCGATCAAAACGCCGAATCCTTGTACAGCACCGGGTGTACGAATGGGCTGTAAAGTCGATTAGTTTTGAGAAACCGATCAGCAGCGTCATACGTACCTCGTCTTCGCAGCGAGCAAGTTTGCCTTCTCTGCCAACAATGAGGTGGTTACCGTTTTCGTCGGTGACGTGCTGGAAGCGAACGCTAAGGAATTGGGAGGCATCGGTGGCGTCCGAGCCTGAGGCCGACTGAGACTCGGAGCCCGAGCCGGATGCTCCGTTGGAGATGATCGACTGAGAGGATTCGGACCGATGGGCGTCGTCGCTTCCCGGTGCCATTCGCGGAGAGGACGAGCCCGACTCGTCGGGGCCGGCGGATGCATCCCTGCTGCTCTTCTGGCTGCCGAGACGGGATCCGGAAACGCGAGAACTACCCTTGCTGCCTCTGCTGTTTTTGGGCGTGGGATCGGATGGTAAAGAGGGGAGGCGGACGAGGTCCAGCTGGGACTCGTTCCACGGCAGAGATGGTTCGGGAACTATGTCTGGAACCTCTTCTGGTGGCAGGGGGTCGTCACTGACGGGAAACTGCCTGGGTCGCGCCCGGAGTTCTGGCGGGGAGGCCGGCAGCAGCTTTGGTTCCGGGGCAGGAGAGGCGACATCAGCTACTGAAGCTGAAGAGAAAACTGCGAGAGCATCAGGGGGTAAGTCGGTCTTGCCGACCGAGGTCGCAGTGAATGTGCGGCGCAAATTAGGACCCGAATCCTCGCCCGGAAAGTGCCTGAAGTTTGGGGGCACGACACTCGAGCGATGGCGGCGTTTCCTGGGTTTTTTGGACGGAACAGGCGAGTCTGTCTTTGGTTTTGACGCCGAAGACTCGGAAACTGTTCTCCTGCGTCGGGAAGAAGGTAGTTTGACCTCGGGGGGATTGGGATCTGTTGTATAGCCGCTTGGACGGGACTGAGACTGGCGAGACTGGATATCGACGGTTGCGTTGCCAGGATTGTTATCGTTGCGGGCCCGCTGGATAGAGTTGCTGAGCAAGGAGCGAACTGGATAGACATAGGAGGAGGATGCGGGGATATCTGAATCGGGGACCACCATCGTCCATGAGAAAGAGAGAAACACAACCCGCTCTAGTATTGATTGCAATACTGATGTGTGACGTCATATTTTGGAGCCATTCGATCCAAAGCACCACATCGCCCGAGCAGCTTGTCCAGAAATCCAGGGTCACAATGCGATCTACAGAATTACATGGGATTGATATCCCATTTCAAGTTTATTCCGTCTCGTCGGACTGTAGGCATGTGATTACTATCCATGAGCTGCTCAGGAAGTTGTGTGGGTCATTTTTTTCCACTGGGTTACTGGCTGAGCCGATGCTTTAGAGACAAGGTTAAGAGTCGATTAGGGATTTTTAAGTCTGGGTTGTTTCGAGCCTGCAGGGTCCATGACGAAGTACAGCATGACGTCAATCGCAACCCAAATAGGCAGGTACTAATTTGGGTTGCAGCCATCGATGAAGCGTGATGTGGTTGAATAACGGCTTCAAAAAGGGCTAATACGTTGGTTAAAATGTATACGAATTCTTGCCATGGTGGTGAAATATGATACCGCCTGGTCTGTACCACCATGTACTGAATCCATATTTCCACCCCCTTTCGTCGCTTCCGTGGTCTAGTAGCATGATGCTTCGTTTGGGTAATTCATTATCACGTGACGAAGAGGTCCCGGGTTCAAATCCCGGCGGAGGTCTTTCTTTTTCGCACTTTTATACGTCAAACCCTCTTCCCAGTAACGCAGCGTACTTGTTCCATGAATTTACAGCCTGTGCCACGTTCTTTTGATCCCCAGGCATTGATAGCCGATCAGCACAGCCACATCTCCTGACACCGAGGTCGCGCTCCCTGTATGCAGAAAAAACTTCCTGGATGCATATTCTGATATGGCTTGGTACTCTGACTCCATTCATCCAAACCCAGTTCACTCCGTGATTCTGGTGTATTGACGATTATCGGTTCTTGCCACCACCATGGCCACTGTGTTCATTGTTGCTGATTTGGACGGCAACAAGCTCGTCCAGTCACGAAACACAACCAGAATATGGAAAAAGGGAGATTCCCTGGACTCCTGGAAAAGCTTCATGGGCGGACTCGATCCTTCATTCAAAGCGCCTTCAGCCGAATACAGTACATACACTATCCTTGTCAGGGCTTTTGGCTCCGAGTCTGGTAGGAGCGGCCCCTTCCCCGATATTGCCACTCAGCCCAATAATGAACATGTCTCAATATTCTTGGTACTGCATGCACAATATGAGTTTCTGGCCGAGGTCCAAGACACCCTGACCGACTCGCGCATACGAGAACCCGCAAAGCGTCTGTCCAAATCTCCAACCAACCAGTAAACCCATAAGTCGATCCAGAACAGCGGCTTTATCCTCTCCCGCTTTCACTACTGCAGCCTGAATTCGACCGATTTTTAGACGACTTACAGGAGTCCCAGGACGCGCCTCTGGAGCCTTCGCTTTCACCGCCGGCTCACAGATGGAGCCGAGATCTCTCCCTTTTCTACTTGTCGGATGTCTTATGAGAAGCTGACCTCCTGGGCGAAGTACTGGGCTGTCAAATCGAGAAGAAGACGATCAGCCCATACACAATCGCTGGCAGAGTAAAACTCAGTTTCCTTTGTCTCGATGATCCCCTGGACAAACCTCTCGGTCTCGCCAGAAAGAACAAAGGCCAAGGCACTTATGACACCACATTCGAGGTGATTTTGTATGACTGCGAGACAACTCATTGCCTCCTTGCCGACCAATAATACTCCGGCGCCGACTGGCGGTACCGAGCCTTCTCGTGGTCCACAACGGTAGGCTGTACTCCCCAATATTGCTTTTTCATGGTCTGATTTTTATGCATCACAGTGCCCAATGTTCAAGTCTTGGGCGCGGTGCATCTGCGCGAGCAATGTGCTGAGTGTCTTGTTGCCATCCATACCACTTGCGTTTAACGAGTACAACACTGGCATGATGACGGAGCTGATGCGTTTTATGGCAGCCGTCAAGAAATTCTTTGACGGACTCCGGGCCGTCTACGAAACTCCGCTGAGCCATCAAGTTGCTGCAAATCAAATTGATTTTCCCTACTCCCACTCCTACCCCGTTGTCATCGCGGCCAGCGAAGACACTTCCACTCTCGTTGATAAAGCAGGTAAGGCTGACGAGCGGCAGGGCCTGCTACCAGGTTTTGGGATTCTCAACAATTCGAGGTCACATTTAAAAACACATTGAATTAGTTTGGTCGTAAGATAAGGCTACTTATAAAACTATGTACATTGGAAATCAATGATTGAGTGACTGATTATTTCGAGGGAGCAACAAGTGAAGGAGCAATGAATGTCTAAGCAGTAGGAGCCTTTTTGGACGGAGAAAGGCCGTCGAAAGCGCTATCAACAGCGGGGTTGCGGGCTCGCTTGGAAGGCGTCGATGGTGTGGCAGCATGATATTGAAAGCGGTGAACAAGAAAGATGGATACTCCTGAAACCTGGAGTCAGCCAAATTAAATAAATGTCGGAAAAATCCCATTTGGCTTTGATCGGCTTTAAACATGTTCCAAGCCAATGCATGCCCAAATGGTTTTGGCTGGCTTCCAACGCACAGTTCAGAATCCTCCAACCGCTTCTAAGACAAGGGTATGGTTCCAAGGTCTACCATGCCTCAGGGCATTAAAGCTTTGGAAATAATAAAAATATGCACTTACTCAGTCAGTATGCAAGCAGCTGCATTAATGTCAGAATATGAACTTGAAGGTCCGGATCTATGGTATTTATACACCATTCGTTGTAGACATCAACACAATCAGGGATAGATATACCCGGAGGAAGGGAAGACGGCAGATGGGAATGAGAAAACTGAAAGCAGAGGCCTGACAGAATGTGTTTTGTAATGGTGGTACAAATGTGGTTCGTGGTTGGTTTCTCAGGCAGTTCCACTCAATGGAGTGCAGCGATGGACAGAAGAATTGGCCTTCAATGAGCTTCAAAAGAGTCAAAGAAATCAGCAACAGAGGCACAAGAGCGACTTTCTATTGTGGCCGTTTTAACAGTGAGCAAGTGCTTGCGAATTGCAGCCTTGATCTTGAAACGAAGATTGCGGCTTGAATTCAATGTGGGAATATTTAAAGCTGCCGCAACGTGATAGAGGTGCTCAATGGAGATTTTGCTGTAGTCAGCAGCAAGAATTATATTGAGAGCAGCAGCAGACATAGAAGCTGCAGAATCAAAATCTTGAGCTACAGCACGGCAGGTTGAGCGGTCGAGTCTCAAATACGAGTTAACATCTGAGATGTGGTCTGCATAAGCCCCTGTCATGAGATGATGAATTAAATGCTTGTCTACATTGAATGAGATTCACATCATGGTGGGGAACAGTATGCAGGGTAAGAGCATGTTGAATTGTCTCTAAATCAGAATATAGCACAGAGATACCGGCATGGGTGCGGTAATGGGCAGTAAAGATATCACGGAAGATATTTAAAGATGTGGTAAAAGGTTTAGGCATATGAGAGTGTAAGGCATGAGAGGATGGGGCGCAACTACAGGCCGATGGCTCTGAGCAGGCACAAAGATCAGAGGAAGCTGCAAAGAAAAGTGTGAGACGAGCCAAAAGGGGAACACGGAAAACATACATTGTGGGAAACCAGCATCGAGATCAGCATCAACATCCATCGGACAAGCTTGGATGGGGACGGTTGCGGGAGCTGGGTTAACAGAGTTAACAGAGTTAACAAAACAACCAGAGAGGAGGAAGAAAGCCATGTGGGTCGGTGCGAAGTCCAGGATGCCAGAAGTGAGCAGAAAGCGGGCCCTGGGAAGAGAGTCACGGCAGAAGAGATGCCAGTCACGACCCAGAACAAGATCAAAGAGCAGCGAGTCCTTGATAGAGAGATTTACGTTCATAACACAGGTAGATCCTTCGCACGGCAGAGACAAGACACCAGAGGCGACAGATCCCGAAGACTTGATACCAGAGGCCAAGACCCAGTCCAAGGAGAGCAAAGATTTTTCATGGTTAGCGCAGAAGGTTGAGGAGAGGGGAATATTGAAGAAGGTAGCGGAGGGAGGCATGGGGGAAGAAGAGAAAGAGTGACGATGCGATGCCACGTCACTCGGGAATAGAAGGCCGAGTCCGAAATGCCGAGGTTGCGACTCAAAAGTAGTGCTTACGCAAATAACGCTGATGAAAATATGATGCTCACCAGTCAAAAGTAGTGCTTACGCGAATAATGCTGACGAGAATGTGATGCTCACCAGGCAGTAAAATTAGGGCGCCCTAAAACCCTTACCTAAAGGTAGCCGGAATTTCTCCTACATTGCCCGACTTGACCCTATCCGGCTCGTCTTCAGCGCGCGCACCCAGGGAGGTGCTGAAATCATCATCAAATTTGGATACGGAAAATATGGGTACGTAGCGCACGAGGCAGCAGTCAAGTCGGGTCTGGCCCCCCTGCTCAGCTATTCCCTGCTGGTGGGTCGGATGTGGATAGTCGTGATGGAACCGCTCGAGGCTGGCTTTAAACCATGCGACGAGCTCACCGGCCTCACAGATCAATATAAGGCAGCCGTCGCCGCGGCCGTCCGGACGTTCTACAAACTAGACCTGGTACACAATGGTGACCTCCATGCCTCCAACGTGTTTGTCAAGAGCGAAAAATAGGGGGATGTAGGATTGCCGGTTCTTTGATTTTGACTGGGCATGTAAAGAGGGAGCTGTGATGTACCCGATCGGCATGTACAACACGATTGCTGTATGGTGACCAGAGAGCCTGAGGTATCTCGATGGACAACTCATTGCACGGGCCCACGACGAACGCACCATGGTTGGACTCGAGTTCCTTGAACGGGCATGATATACAATGTTGATGCACCTGAGTATTCGTCTTTATTCCTTCATACAAAGCAAAGACGTCGTAACTTCCCACCATGACCTATGTACTTTGAATTCAGTATGTCGATGCTACATACACAAAAAAGGAACGTAATACGGTTCTGCGAATTCCTTGCCGGGCGCTGCCGGCGCATTCGCCCGTCATTCCACTTCTATATTATTATTGGGGGAGCTTGCGACCCCGATCTATTAAGGGCTTCCGATTTGCGTGTCACGTGAAAATCCACGTCTTTGGTTTTGTTTGTTAGTCATGTGATAAGTCACGAGTCAATTTGCACGATAGCGTTTCGGCCGAAATTCACGGCAGTTCATTTTGGACATTGAATCTCCGAATAATCAAATCCCCAATGACACAGAATAAATTAATCAAGGCAAGCATGCGGAACCCGCATTCCTCCTTGCTTCCCACCATCCTCGCTGTAAAGCTCCAGGTACTTTCCCCTCTTTTCAGTTGTATTTTATATTTTATTCCTCCAAACTCACCCTGTTTTAACAGCTTTGATACTTGGTGATTGGCCCTATCTGCTTTTTCTGATCTTATCTCAGACACTGCGTGGTTTCTTTAGCCTCGACCTCACTTTTCTCACTTTTTGTAGCTCTGCTGGAATGCATGTCTCCCTTGCCCTTCTGATTCACATTCATAAATTGGCTTCAAACTAGAGATCAAACTCTGCCTAATACCCCTCAAAGAGCTCAGATTGCATCTCAAAGGAATGAGTGGGACATGTTGGCAGTGTTTTCTTCAATTGATAAAGAATAAAAGAAACACTGTGTGCAGTTTGAAAACATGACCGCCACAGCAGCAGAGTGGAAT